GCATTTCTCCTGAAAGCCAGTCAGCACATTGCGATCTCAGGTGTGGGCCTCCGCAGTGGCTACAGACCTCTGTCGTGTCACTGCATAGGCGCTTGCTGTGACCATAGGCCAGACACCGCGAACATTGCACAAGAGGGGACTGATCTTCTACCCTTATTCGCTGGAGATCCACATGGATCCACCCAACATTTGTGAGGTAGTTCCATATCTGGGGCGAGACTCTGATTACAATGTGGGCGGTGTGTGGGTTTCTAGATTTTTTCCTGTACTTTATCTCCATTCTATTGCCTTTTTCGTCTATGTTTTGAAAGAGCTGTTTGTTTTGTGTTCTTACTGCCTTAATTACTTCTTCGTCCGAATTGTATTGTAGTACATCCTTTAATATGATTAATGGGTCTTTGTTTTTAATGTCATCTACAATTAAATTTTGACTCGTATTTTTTATTCTTTCTTTCACCCTATTTATCTCTTCCTGTGTGCTACATCCCAGTATTACTTTTCTGTCCCTTGCTTTCCGAATTTTATCTATTTTTAAGCCTTCCTCTTTGGCGTTTATTGCCATTCTTACCCTGTCCATAACTTCCTCTCCTGTGTCTTTCACGTCAGTTGATGTTATGACTACAGAGTGCATTGGCGTATTTTGTTGTGGCTGTCTCCTTGGTGGTCCGGCCAATACACTCGCATAGGTCCCTTTCTCTTCGTTGATTTCTTTCTTCTTTATTTCTTCTCTTAATTTCTCCATCTCATTTTTATTCTCCTCCAGGAGTTTCCCGTGCTCCTCCAACTTCTTGATTAGTTTGTTGTGTTCTTCTAGTTTTCTCTTCTCAGAATCTTCTTCCAGTTTATCTGCTTTTTTCTCTTGCTCTTTTGCATTTCTTTCTTTTTCTGTGCCTTTTCCTGTCTCTGCCTCTTTTACCAGTTGATAAAGTCTATCTATTGCTTGCGTGACTTCGGTCTTTATGTCATTCCTCAGATTTCGCGAGTTACTGAGGTGCAATTTCGCTCTGTTAAGACAGGCTCTAGCTTCCGTTATACGATCTGGATATTTTGTCGTGTCCATTTTAGGCGAGTTTTCCGTAGGTTCCACCAAAACTCTACGGGTTGCCCCTTTTGACTCCTGGGATGGTACTATCTTTGGTTTTTGGCGTGCCACCGGGACCACCTTTTTGGGGGAAGGCTGAATTCCTGCTTCAGCGTCTACTTTACCTGCCTCCCACTCCCCAATGCTTCTCCTCACACTGGAGGCCTGCGTCGTTTTATTATTTTTGGGAGAAAGCTCTTTCTCCTCTGTCCCATTTGGAGAGCCTTGGAGGCCCATGTCCTTAGAACTATCCTCGGTCTTTTTAGTGGGAGTACGGAAGCCGAACATATTCAGGGGAACGCGTCCTTAGGTCACAACAATAAAATAAAATAAAAGTAAAAATAAAATAAAATTTTTAAAAATTTTAAAAATTTATAAAATTAAAATTTTTTATAAAGGTTTGTAAAAGTTATAAAATGTTCTTTAAAACAGCTTGACACGGCTATGGTGGGCTCGTACCCGGTACCGGTTAAATAAGATCCTATAATCGCGCGGCTCTATGTTTCTCTATGTAGAGTTACGCTCTATTTTTACCGTTTATACCCTTTACTTAATTGTCACACTCTGTTTCACTTATTTATTTATAATATTTTAGGGATGTTATAATTATTCCTATAACTCTATTAGACTCTATGTAGAGTCAGTATATCAGCCTTTTAATTTATTGTCAATTTGGTTGTCCAAAATTCAGTTCTCTACCTGGAGTTGTCTCTATAATTTAACTTAAAAGTAACATTTAATTTACACCACAGCTGGTCACACTTAAATTCTAATTATTTACACTAAAAGAAAATATAAAGTAAAATTATTTATAACATAAAATAAAAAAATTTAAAAATAAAAAATAAAAAATTTTAAATATAAAAATTTTTTGATGTCTCTATGTAGAGTCTATATACATATAAATGAAGGTCTACAAATTTAAATATTTCTACAAAAAACCCCGTTCGACTAGACCCACCGGTTTCTGTGTTATAGGTGTTTAAAGTTTTTCATCCCCCAGAGACTAAGTCGAAAAATCAACTTAGGGGTAGGGGGTTGAAACTATGTCCAAATGATCCGGTGGGGGTCGAAGACTATCCGGCTTCTGGATATTGAAGGCTCCGTTTTCCTGTAAACTGAAAACACAGTTATCGTGCAGTTTGCAGGACCTCCCAGCTCGCACAATTAATTTTATATCTTAAAAACGACTCATCCGAAAATTCTGTAAAAAATAGTGTATATAAAGCGTTAATTGCTTTTTAATAATATATTACTTTTGAGTTTGGTGTCCTGAAAAATTTTTTAGTTTTTAAATTTTTTAATTTTGATTACTAAAACCAAGAGCCGCAAAAAGGCTCTAAATCGTGTAATTTGGTAAGGAAAAATTTTGAAAAAAATTTGGGAATAGTATATGTAAGCAAACAAAATTTTTGACACTATTTTCAGGATTTTCAGGAAAATATTTCAGCCACCACGTGTTTAAAAAATTTTTTTAAAAATATCTTAATATTATTATTTACACTCCGATTTTAAAGTTTTTTATGTCTATTGTTAGGTCTCGAGTTTTACTTTCACATAAGATTTATAACTATATAGGTCGTCACTGAAAATTGAAAGTTATTCACCTTTGAATCTCCCGGCTGAAAATCGGTGTCTTCAAAGCGTGATATCTCTGGTGTTTGTTGTCCAATTTTTGTGATCGAGGTGTCGAACACTTTGCCTCGAAATCCTCTTCCGATGTATGATGTCAAATTTGGCCGCACAGCATCCAATCCAAAAACACGTGTCCACGTGGTTTTGGATTTCCGAAAATATTTCGGTGCGCAGACGTCGAAAAAATCCGGTAATTAGCCAAGACGCTTAAGCTCGTCAGGGCGCTTCTTTTGACATAATAAAAACCATATGTCGTCGATCGTTAACAAGCTACGTTTCACTTAGAAGTTTTTTGAGGTTATAAAAACCAATTTTTCTGTAATAACTTTTTTGTTTTAACACTTTTTTCAATTCTCTTTTCACCACTATGTTCGTCTCACTGAGACGCGTCTAACGATATATAACACTTATTATTTGGTACACTTTGATCCAACACTTTGACTTTTCGAACGCGGAGCGATACGAAAATGCTGCGTACGGAACGGCGTTTGGAGTGCAACTGGTTAGGTTAGGTTAGGTTAGGTTAGGTTAGGTTAGGTTAGGTTAGGTTAGGTTAGGTTAGGTTAGGTTAGGTTTTTTTTTTTTTTTTTATTATTTCTACTCTACAGACTCGTAGTCCGTACCCTTTATTACATTTTTTTTTATAATTGTTATGACATTACATATGTAGTTTCTAAGCTATAACATCTCTCCGCGTTTTTTGAATATACATTTTCCCATTAACATAGATTATAATATCATGCCTTATATCTAACGGTTAGTGTTTCTTTTTTTTTTTTTCCCTCGAATTTTTTTTCTTATTCTTATTCTTTTTTTTTGGTTTGTTTATTGTTCTTTTTTTTTTTTTTTCTTCTTTTTTTTTTCATGCATCTTAAGTTAAAATTCCCTATAATTTTGCTCCTGAGATTATCCTACCAAACCTCCCCCCACGCCCCCCATAACCCCCCATAACAACCCCCCACTCAACTTACCTTCTTTGAACGACACTCAAAAGGTCGGTAACCCCCCCCTCAAGAACATACCCCCCTCAGCAAAATACCCCTCAGCCTCTAACTCTTGAACGGTACATCGTTGATCAACGAGCGACATCTCATTGAAATCAGGGGAAAATTCTCTATAACTTGGTTGTGACGGATTATTCTCCTCAAACCCCCCCCCCCCGTCAACCCCCCCCTTACCAATTCAACTTACCTTATTTGAACGACACGCGAAAGGTCGCCCCCCCCCCCCCCCCCCGCTCAAGTACATACCCCCCAGCAAAATACCCCTCAGCCTCTAACTCTTGAACGGTACATCGTAGATCAACGAGCGACATCTCATTGAAATCAGGGGAAAATTCTCTATTATTTGGCTGTGTCACATTTTCTAAATAAAAAAAACAGATCTTCCCGTCACAACATACCCCCTTTCAACAGCAACTTTCCCCTTCTGCACCGAAAACGGAAGTACCGAAAACTGAAGATTCGTCTCAGGGTCCTCACACAGCAGAAACATCAGCAGCACCAGCAGCAGTAGTATATTTTAATATATAATGATAATTTTAAAAAAAAAAAAAAACAAAAGCATTTGTAAACAATAAGATTAAAAAAAATATATTTATATATATATAACATTAAAAACATAGTATAAAAATACAACAATCAACAGCGACCATGTCACAACTAAACAAAAATCAAAGCGCTCAGGCCCTAGAGGGGCCGCCACAGGGTCATTGCCGGCCACTACTGGTGCCACTTCGTCTCGCCCACCTTCCTCACAAAAATCCACACAATCTCTAAGGAGAAAAGTATTCGCAAAAGTCCCAATGGCTAGATCTTCAGTAAGCGAAGATTCAGATGCTTCTCTCACTAGCGTCGAAAAACCTCCAGCGATAGATGCAAAGATCGCTGCCTGGCCTCAGGTAGAGATCCCCCCTCGTCCAATCATCTCAGACGAGGACTCATCTGCATCAGAATCCTTTACGTCCGAACCAAAACGCCTAAGCATAATACGAACAACGGCGAGACATGGAGGAGTCGAAATGGACTTGGCTACTAAACTGGCCAACGAGATGTTACAGAAGGGCAAGGAGGCGCTGGAGACAGCGGGTAATATGAAAAAGGAGTGCAAAACAACGGCGCTCGAATGCCTTCAGAGTCTATATGAGACGGTACTCGCCCTCTCTGACTCGAGATCTAGGCACAAGTACAATTTGGAGAAGGAAAAATCTAGGCATGCCCAAGAACTAATCAGAATGGAGCGAGCCCACACAAAAAAGATAGCAGAAATAACAGCTAACCTTTCCATGGAAATAGGGAACGCCCGCAATGACATCTCGGAGGCCAAGGATATAGCTAAGTCAATCCGAGAATGGCTGGGATACGAGACCAGAGAACCTCACAGGATCATTGGAGAAATAGGAAGTTCTATAAAGGCTCTAGACAAAAAATTGCAGGATCTTTCCGACAACTTCACCAGTCAAACTATTAAAATATCGGAAAAGAGAGCACCGGAGGAACGACAAAACCTTCTAAAAACTTTAGAAATTGTCACAAGGCAGCTAGACGAACACCGGCGAGAACTCAAAGAAATCAAAGACCAAACAACGCTCGTCCAAAATAGCAGTACAAAAGCCATAGAAATTCTAACCACACAGTCTCCATCCCAATATGAATGCAACGACAAACGGCAGTGGGACGATATAAAGACTGACATTTTGCAGGAAATTAAAAATATAAAATACACACAAACGCAAGATACATTTGACAACACCCCCAGCTCCTTAACATTAAACCTTAGTGAACATCTACAGCCCCTCACCGAACGTCTGGAAGCAGTTTCGTCGGAACTAAAAACCATACGTGAACTTCGACAGAAAACGCCACCACCGGCGATAAGCCTTAGTACGGAACTTGCGCTGGCAGAGATGGCCAAGAGTACCAAAACAATTCCGACATATGCTCAAAAAGTGAAAGAAAAGCCTGTATTGAGGCCCAATCACACCTTGATCGTTTCGTCGACGGATCCCAACAAAACAGGTGAGAATGTCATTGAAACGATCAGAGAAGCACTTGATATAAAGAGGACTGGAGCAAGAGTAGAAAAGATAAGGAAAGCAAGGAACCGAAAGGTTGTTTTAAGCTGTGGCACTAAAGAAGATCTGGACCTCATAAGAAGTCAGGTTAAGAAAAATGAAACACTCAAGGCAGAGACTCCCAAAATGAGTAATCCACTTATAAAAATAAAAGACGTATTATCATACCATACTGATGCCGAGATCGTGGAACAGCTGCGAGCACAGAATAAGCATCTGTTCCAGGATCTCAAGGCGACTGAAAACGTCATGAGGGTTCGGTACAGGAAAAGGGCGAGAAACACGCACGAATGTCACCCAATCATAGAACTCTCTCCAGCACTGCACCGGCGTTTCTTAGAAGCCGAAAAAATCTATATAGGCCTACAGAGAAGACCGGTAGAAGACCAATCCCCCTTAGTGCAGTGCACAAAATGTCTGGGCTTCGGTCACACCAAAAACATCTGCCAGGAAAAAGAAAATCTCTGCAGTTATTGTGGAGAAAACCACCCCTGGGAAAAATGGTTAGGTTAGGTTAGGTTAGGTTAGGTTTTTTTTTTTTTTTTTTCCTCCGGGGGGTTACACCACCTCCAGAGGGATTGTATTGTCTGTTTCCACAAAATTTGCTTAAAATTAAACACCACTTATTATAACAATGTCTCACAAGTAAAATTGTACAAATTGACTGCGATTGGATACAGTCAATGTACATTTTGCTTAAAAGTAGTAGAAGAAGAAAAAACAAAATATATACATTTGTATTTAGAAGAGAGAAAAAAATTTAAGGATTAACAATGTAAAAGCACATAAAACATAAGACAACTTATACTAAAACAAATATGTTTTGTATACGAGATGGCAAAGTGTGCGTAGTCTGGTGTTTTGTGTAGTTTACAGCCAGCGTTGGCTGCCATGTTCGCCATTTCATTTCCCACAATGCCCGCATGGCTTTTCACCCATACTATCTTAATACTGCCAGACTTCCTAATTTCATAAATTGTTATATGTATTTCAACCACTATAGGGTGAGTATTACTTCTGTTTTGTATAGCCTTTATAGCAGAAAGAGAGTCGGAAAATAAAACAGTTTGGATGTGATTATTGTTAAGGGTCCAAAAAAGCCTTAAATATAGCAGTTCAGCCTGAAATACGGAGCATGAGTCATGCAGTTTGAATTTTTTAACTACAGTGTTGGGTGAGTCACCCGCGGGAACGTAGGCAACAAAGGCCGCCCCAACAGCCCCGTCCTCCTGCTTGCTACCGTCTGTATATATACAGACCGAGTCAGGACTGATGGCGGCATCCACCTCCCGCTGGCTATGTAGTGTGTCATGTTGAATGGTGATCCTCTCACTGGGGTGCAAAAGTTCGTGTAATTATGTTGGCTTTTCATAAGTTATGTCATGCGGTAGAAAGTCTGACGTGCAGGACAATCTAGTCCTTTCCACCGCATGAACCTCCTGAATTTTTAAGTCGATTGGTGTAAATTCGGCGAGGGCCAGAGCAGCCGATGTGGAGACGGTACGAAATGCCTTAATCGCCTTGATGGCGAATCCTCTCTGCATTTTCTCCAGCCGCTTTCTGACTCCTCTCTTGGAAGCGACGTGCCCCCATACACCAGCAGCATATGTCACAATAGGTACAATTACCTGATGGTATATAGCGCGTATGTTCTCCGGGTGTGCACCCCAAGTAGGCCGTGTAAATAGGCAAAGTTTATTAAAAAATTTTGTCGCCTTACCGATGACATACTGGATGTGCTTATTGAATAGCAGTTTTTCATCCAGCATGACACCCAACAATTTGACATCAGAAGAGAATTTTAATGTGTGTCCGTTCATAGTGATTTTTGCAGTCTTTGCACCAGGTGTGAACGCGATCATTTGAGTTTTGGAGGGACCAAATACCAATTTTACACTTGATCCCCATGTAGTGATACGAGAGAGCGCAGTGTTAGTCGCACTCTCAAGCCGGTGGACATCTTTGGCTGACACGACAAGGAACACGTCATCTGCGAACGCCTGTATATGGCAACCTGCCGGAAGTTCCTCTTCAAGGAGCTCATCAAGAATGATGTTCCACAGCACCGGGCCACAGGCGGAGCCCTGGATGCATCCCTTAGTCATCATCTTGGTGACCCTGACCCCGGCATGATCGAGAGTCACCACGCGGTTTCGAACGTAGCTGCAAATGAGTCCATAGATGTTGTGAGGACAGTTCATCAGCCTCAGCCTGTGGAATAATGCCGGCCACCAGGCATTGTCGAAGGCCGCTTTGATGTCCAATTATAGTGCGATCACCAGCTCCCCACTTTCCTTGGCCCGACGAATAACGCCGAGCGCAGAGTTAATGGCCGCGGTTGTGTTTGTTTGCTCGCGGAAGCCAAACTGCCGTGGGCAGCTGTGGTTGTTGCCAGCGGCCCAAAAGGTGACACGCTTGATAAACAATCTTTCCAACAGTTTGCCAAACACAGGAAGCAATCCGATGGGACGAAAAGAGTTTAATTCACCATAATCACTCTTACTTGGTTTGGGGATAATTTTAACATACGCCACCTTCCAACAGTCAGGAAAATGCTGAAGCGCCAGACACCTGTTCATAATGTCAGTTATAAGTCGCGGATAGTTTTTTGTGAACTGCAGGCAAATATCCGAAGTTAGATTGTCTAACCCGGGAGCCTTATTGGGGTTCATTAGACTCAAGTGCTCCAGCACCTCCTCTGAAGTGAAGGGTGGTTCATCATTGGTGTCCAAAGTGTCATCGAGGTGAGCAGTCAGCTCGTGATGACGGGGGTCAGTGTCTGGTAGATCAGGAGGATAAAAATGGTTAAGCAGTGCAGTTGCAGTTTCATAATTGTCCGCAGTGAACTTATTATATATTTTTAAGGTGGTAGGTGGGCGTCTAGCAGTGGACTCTTTTAATAGTCTATTAGTCAGGGACCAGACATTCTCCTTGGTTTGAAGGCTGCAAAAATCCCTAAAGCTTTTTGTGGACTCAGCTCTTAAGTTTTGTGCATATGCTGCTTTGAGAGTCATGTGTTGCTGAACTAAGTCCTCTATGGCTATGATGCAATTTTATTATCTCGAGCTTCTGAGCCTCTAGTTCCTCTGACCACCAAGGGGGCTTGTATTTCCCTCCCTTACCTCTCATCCGCATACTTTTACGGCAGGCAATGTGAATAATTTCCACAACTTTGGCTATGAGGTCATCCAACTCGGAGGGATTCAGGGCAGATATATTAATGTCCAAGATATCAGATTGTGTTAAGTATAAGTGAAGAGTTTCATTAAATAAAGGCCAACAGGCTTTTTTCGATTTATAAATGAAGGTGGATGTGTTATTGTTAGTGTACAAATCAGAATTAGGACTGTTTAGGTAAATTTCAATAGCGTGGTGTTGAGATGAGGTACATATCTGGAGGTTGACCTGCCATTCCGATACGAGATGGTATATCGATTCAGATGCTAGTGTAATGTCAATGATCGAATCCCGGTGCCGGCCGTGAGTGATCGTCTCGAACGTGGGCGAATCGCCAACATTACAGACAACCAACTCGTTACCATAAACCAGATCGACCACGTCACCACCCCTAGCATTGGCGACTGGGCTACCCCAAATGGGATGCCAGCCATTGAAGTCCCCCCCCAACAATTTTAGGTGAGTCGCCGGTTGCCTTAAGAAAGGCATCCAATTTGTCCAGAGTGGCTGATTCATCTCTATCTGGTTCGATGTACACTGAAGCTATATATATAACACGGTTCCCGGCAGAGAGGCGTGCTACGCAGAGATTAGGTGTGGAATACTGTGTGAGCCCCATAATGGAGCCGCATCCTGGCCTGACCAAAATGCAGGCCTTGACCCTTGTTTCCAGTGATGGGAACTGTATTATTTGAACACCGTGAACAGCTCTAAGTTCCAGACCCGAGCCAACATATGGTTCAGAAATTAATGCGATGTCATGGCTGCCAGCCATGAAAGACACAAGTAGTTCATGAAGACTGCTTTTCGATCTATCAATGTTGCACTGCAAACTTTTTAAGTTTTTATGGTGCAAATCCATAGTCGACTCTTTGATTTATTTTATCTTTCATGGCTCGCAGTCTGGGACATTTATCGGAATTAGCGGTATGTTTGCAGTCTTGGTTGGATTTAAATCTGGCATTGTGAGAAGTGCAATTATAGCACTTGACGCTGCCAGGCTCATTTTTCACAGGGCATTTGTCCACCTGGTGGTCGGAGCCAGCACAGTGCGAGCAAAGACTTTCGGTGGCGGTGCATTTGGACCTCATGTGTCCGAACTGAAGACACTTGTGGCACTGCAAGAACGGAGAAAAGCTGTCCACGGTTATTCTCTAGTGATCCACGCAGACCCTCCCTAAGTCGAGAATCTTACGGTATACCTTGGCCTCTGCCAGGAACACCGCGTTATATAGATTACTATTGCGATTACCTCGCTTAAAGCGGAGTCGGAGGCCCTCACCGTCACGACCCTCACCCTCAATCAAATGGGATATCTCAGGGTTTTGCTTGCTGATCAACTTAACCAGGTCCTCCGAGGGAACATCCTTGGATATGCCCTTAAGAATAACCATGGGTTTAAGCATACGCACGGGTTCTGCTTTGACATCCTTGCTATTCTCTAGCCTTGTGAGCGTGTCATCCCTTTTTGAGACATTTTCAAACTCCACGCGGAGTTTGTTGTTGGATACGGGTTGAACCCTAGTCGGTGCATAAGTGGAGTTCCTATATGATATACTTTTCCTAAATAATTCAACAGCCTCCTGACGCGTTTTAACATTTTTAGCCGGGGTGATGATTACGGCAGGCTTTGAGATAGTTGGTACGGTGCGGGGGCAGGCCCTCCCACAGATGTAGAAGCCCCACTGGCCGCAGAGACAGCCTGGGCGTAGGTTGGTTTTTTCACTGTGTTGACCAGTTTCCTTAAACCAGTCATCTCCTCGCGGACACAGGCCACGATTTCTTCTTTAATTTCCCCCAGAGCTGATGCGCTGGGAGAGGCGATGGTGTTAACACTGTTTAGGGTTCGGGCAGCCCGGCGGATTTCCTCCATGGCCAGACTAATCAGGCGTTTATTCACCGCAGTTACACTTTTTCCCTCATTTATTGCTGAGCTGACACATGAAGTCAGCTTGTTGATCACAGAGGTGAATGTATCAAAGTCTCTGACCTCCTCGGCCGTGGCCGGGAGGGCAGGGGGGTCTCCCTGAGTCGCAGGCATGGCTACACTTTCACATAGAGTCTTAAAATTTCAATTATTGTCCAGGTCATTAAGTTTTGATTTGAGCGTCTAATTCTCGGAAGGGGCGTAAGCGGGGGGGGGGGGGATTGTCCACTTTGGAAGAACACTGCGATAATAGCACTATGGCGTCGTAACATTTAGGAGTCTCAAAATCTACACACACAGTAATATTAAGTTTTCACACATATTAAATTATCAACTTAGTCCTAGGGGGTGGGGGGTGGGGGGGTTCCAAAGGTCTGGGGGACAATATATAATATATTATATATATCCGCCAAAACTGGCCTCAAAATTGAGCTATCTTGCACCGTTTGCAAGATATTTAGGTCTGAATGTAGAAATATTGCACATTTTGAGCGGAAAACTATTTTTAAATTATGGAAAACTTTTGCAACTTTTGAAATATTAAATGTAAAATTTTGAAATTTTGAGGGTTTGTAGTGTATGATGTGCGCTATCTATTAACAGAATTTTAGGAGTATTCCTTCTAGAGATATAGAATTTTGAAAGTTGGAGTACATTGATTAATAGGGGTAAAAAGTCTATTTATGTCAAAACGGTGCGATTGTTGGAAAAACTGTTCATAACAATGAGTTCACCTGTTGATTGTCCTTCGAAATCCAGTTTTGGAACCAGCCGCACGCTTCTGGTTTTCAAAATGGCCGACCACGTGGTTTACGGAAAACCGCTGGAAAATAGGTTTTTCCTGCACGGAAAATTCTCAAATTTGGTGAGATCTTAGATATTACGCGTATACACTTATTCCACTGATAAAAACTGTACAATGCATGTCACTGATTGGGTGTAGGCCAGGAAATATAAATTTTCAATCACTTTTTTTTTTGAATAACTTTTTTTCCTAAAGTCGCCGCTTTATGCCGTTTTCACTATATTATAAAGCATCAAAATCCGCGTCTTTTGATGTATAGCACGTTACTCTAACTTAAGATCACCGACCACGTGTATTTTGAAAAAAATGTTAATAACTCCGGTTTTCCGCATAGAAAAATTTTGAAATTTGGCACAAACGTAGAACTTACATATATACACTAATTACAAAATTAAAAAGTATACGTCCTCGATCAAAAATCAGGAGCGGGCACGAAAATGTTAATTTTTAGTCACTTTTTCAAGTATAACTTTTTTCACAAGAATCTCGGCTTCAATCTGTTTCCACCACAATGAAGAGCGTAAAATTACGCATCTTTTGATATATAATAAGTCACTATTACACAACTTTTTACCACTTTCCCGAATTTTTATTTGCGGAGCGTCATAGTTTCGTGACGTTCGGGACCGCGGATGACGCGAGACTGGTTAGGTTAGGTTAGGTTAGGTTATGTTAGGTTAGGTTAGGTTAGGTTAGGTTAGGTTAGGTTAGGTTAGGTTAGGTTAGGTTAGGTTGGGTTAGGTTAGGTTAGGTTAGGTTAGGTTAGGTTAGGTTAGGTTAGGTTAGGTTAGGTTTTTTTTTTTTTATTATTATACTGCTGCTATACATGCAGCATCCTTTATTACTATTGGTTTTTATCCAAAGTATGTTAAAACTTTTTTTTTTTTTTTTTTTTTAACTCTCATTATCTCTTACATTTGTAATTCTTAAAACTATTGATAAATTTGTTTAAATTTTACTACTATACATCAATATTTTATACAATATATAAAAAAATATAGTGTATAGCATATAGAGATGTTCTGTTAATTCAAGTTATTTTGTGCGCCATCCAATATCTTATAATAATTTCTACAATCTTATAAGCATTTTTTTTTCAGAATAATTTTAATTTACATTATACATTACACTATCATTATGGTACATTTGGTTGTTTTATCTTTATAATGCTTATCAACTTATATTCTAGCTTATACTAGTTTGGATCCATTTGCCTTACCCGCAGAGCGTACAACAGCTTCTGAAAACTTAAGGAAATGGGTCCGACAGTCATCGTTGTTAATTGCATTTCTTAAATTATTAATAGTAAGTGCCATCCCCATCTTTTGTTCACAGTCAAGTCGTTGTATGGCGAATCTAGGACAGTCAATTATTAGATGTTCGATATTTTCTTCTTCGTCTTTGCTGCAAACACAAGATGGCGACTGCGCTAGCTTATGTTTATATAAATAAGCCTTAAAACCTCCATGTCCAGTTAGTAATTGTACTTTGAGATTGTCTATTTTTATATGCTTGAGTGTTCTATACGCTTCTTTTATGTCCGGTAGAAATTTCTTTGTTACAGCTCCCGTTGTTGCTGCACTATATCGTAGCTGCCACTCCATGCAAGTAGAGTCCCTAGCAAGTCGCTTCGCGAAAGACAGGGGGAATCTATCGTAAGCTGGAGTTTGCTTGTTAGAAAGTGCGGCTTTTTTCGCAAGTTCATCGGCTCTCTCATTACCGGCTAAGCCGATGTGTGCTTTAATCCAGCAAAGTTTAACTTCGCCACCTTTGTCTAATAGTGACTCTAGTCGATCCCGTATTTTCACAGCTAATGGGTGCAGAGATGATGTGTTACTCAGGCATTCTAAGGCAGAGCGTGAGTCGCTTAGGATGATGCCTTTCTTTAGGTCTTTATGTTTGTGCATCAGATCTAGTGCTCTTAAAATTGCTGCGAGCTCGGCTTGGTAAACACTACAGTAGTTTTCCAGCCTAAAGGTCGATTTTCGTATTTCCTGATTGTTCTTCCAAATTGTCACAGCTCCTCCAACTTTACCTTGAATCTTACTTCCATCAGTGTATAATTTTGTTGTTTGGGAGTCAATCAAACTTTCTTCTTCCTCAGAGGTAATAATCTCAAAAGGTATACGATGCCTATCGGCTGGATGTGGTAGGTAAAATGGATTCTCTGGTTTTTCGCAAATTCTTCCTGGAAGTTGGGTTAGGGGCTTCCCTCGTCTTATTTCATACAGTTTTAGATGTTCTGTTGCTCTAAGGTCCAGAGGAAATATTCCCGCTAGTAGAACACTGGAAGTAAAGGAGACTGTTCTATGTCCTTTACAGATCGAGATAGCAAACATTCTTGTGATACGGTCAAGTTTCTTCTTCACATATTCTTTCTTCACCGTTGCGGCCCAAACACTTGCCGCGTAAAGGATCGTAGGTTCTACTACCGCTATGTAAATAGTTTTTATTATTTCGGAGTTTAGTCCCCATTGTGCTTTTGCTGTTCTAGTCACTTTTTTTATATAAATTGATAGCTTTCCTAAGAGCTTCATCAATGTGTTCTGTGAATCTTAAATTTTTGTCAATTGTGACTCCAAGTACTTTTAGACTCGCTGATGGTTGAACATAAACATTATCCATTCTTACTTGCGGTAGTTCTGGAGACAGTTTTTTTAGTTATTATAACTGCTTGTGTTTTATGTGGTGCAAATTTTAACTTACGGGCTTTACCCCATGCAACTATTTGATCCAAGGCTGGGTTCAGTTCTTCCTCAATGGATTTTGCTGAGTGACCCTTTGCAATGACGAGTATGTCGTTCGGTACGGCGGACGGACTCGACTGGGTTTTTTTTTTTTTTTTATAATTATTATTTCTACTCTACAGACTCGTAGTCCGTACCCTTTATTACATTTTTTTTTTTTTAATT